AATATGAAAATATAACATCATGATTTAGATAGAAATTTTTTAGTAAAGAAATAAGAAAGGGGAATATTACTAGGATATCTCTTCAATATTCCATCTATCTACACTACCAGTAAATTTCCATTCGTAATCCTGGTCATTTGTGAATGGTCCAAAACTCTTATCGCTTTCAGTTGAAGCCTCGACAAAGAATGAAAGGTTAAAAATTGGTATATTATCAAATACTTGGACATTAAAACCGTGGCGAGCATATGAACTTCCATAATTCATTTCTGATCCATTTACCATGATTGCAAGCTGGCCAAATGTACCTGGCCACATTTTGTTATGGACCCAAATTGTATGACCTGTATAGTAAACATAGAGTTGTTAGAACATACAATTAATTTTTTTCCAAAGTGTGATCTTTTAAAAAGTAATTACCTTCAATGAGTGGCACAAGTGTTAGGACAATCGTTAGATTAAAGATGATGGCAATGATTAGGTTGAATTTCATGATGAGTAATATTTGATTATAAAATTTTTTACTTTTTTTCTTGTTCTCGAGGTATATATATATTGGTTTCTGATTAATAATCCGGATATGAACACTTGGGCAAAAATCAAAATTCTTTTATGGGAAAAAATTCCTAACCTTTTTGTTTGTATGGGCGGTCTTTTGCGTATTAAATGAGAAAGTACATAAGTATATGACTTTTTTAAAATAACTCTATTGGCCTTGTTCACTCGCAAGCTCGTGCTCAGATTTATGTAGTCAACTATTTTTTGTTATATTTGACTGACAATGAGTGAAACGAATTGGTAGGGGCAATAGATCCACCACATATGATAAAATATCAAAATTATCGTCATACACTGTACATTATGTTTCTGAAAAATGACGCCAAGATAGTATGTTTCAAAAAAAATGACGCCAAGATTTTAAAAATTTCCACATTACAAAAAACGATTGGTTAACTTGTTTGAATGATAATAAATACTTGTATATATATATGTTTATTACATGGCGTTTGCAACAGGATAATGATCCAAAACACACATCACGCGTTACAAAAACCTTCACTTTTGAAAAAAGAATTTGCATAATAGACTGGCCATCCAACAGTCCTGACCTTAATCCTATTGAAGACATGTGATATATCATAAAAGATAATCTTGAAAAAAGGACGCCAAGGAGCATTGATGAATTGAGAGATTTATGGTTGAAGGAAATAGTCAAAAATATTATTATGTCTATGAAACAGAAATGTGAGTTGGTTTTAGAAAAAAAACAGTGGTATAATTTCTTATTGATTTTTTTTATTTAATAAAATATTTGATAAGCTTCCAAATGAATCATAATTGTTGAGATATGTGATTTTTTGTGCGAGCCATTTTTTTCGAAACTAACTTTTCTTTATATTCATCGATTGGTTTTTTAATTTCAGTTTTAGAAGACATGTTACATAATATTTTTTCGATTAAATTTATAGAGAAATGTTGTATGTGAAATTGAAATTACCGTATTCTCTGGAATATAAGCACCACTCAAATATAAGCACCAGTATGAATTTGCAATGAAAAAAACAAAAAAA